ATTAACATCCAAAGTATAATTTTTTATTATTTTTATATTTTTCAATATATTTATTTTGTTTGTACAAAATAAAAAAATAATTTTTAACGATACAATAGTCTTTGTTAGGCTTAACATCGACGAAAATTCAACGCGAAGCGACACGCAACGGATAAAAATTTCGACATCGGATACGTTAAACTATTTTTTCGTACGTAAATCAGTTATCCGGACAACCCCAGTCCCCAATTGATTTGGAAAATCGACGCTCTACTGTATATATATTCAATATATACCATAGGCACCCATAGCAGGCAGCAGTTTCTCCTAAGATTTAGACAAGGATTTAAATTTCATTAAATTATTATCTCAATAACCAATTGGTAGAAATATATAAGGCATATCAAACTGTAATGGAGTCAAGATAATTGAGATCACATTAAAAAAAAAATAACAAAAGAGACTGACTTTATTTTGTGGGTTTTTTTTTCTTTGAATGTGATTGATTTCCTTTATTCCATTACAATTTCATAAGCCTCATATATCTCCAATTGGCTACTGAAATAATTATATTTATTAAAGGCAAGAAGCTTACAACTACACAAATTTCAATTACTTCACAGCAGAGTTAAAAAAAGTGCCTCCCAAAATCTGCTTTTATGATTTGTTTTTTTCAGTATGACAGTATTAATTTCAACTGAAAACTTAAAACAGTATTTAGTTTTAATATTTAGGTATAATTCTATCATTTAAATTTATACATATATATGTAGTCTGACTATTAGTTAGCATTTCATGTGCATAAAATATCAACTAATTGCCTGCTTGTCTGAAGCTGTGTTAATAAATACAATATAATAAATTTAAATAAATAAAATACTGATATATGTATGTAGAACTGCATTCAAAATTTAACGAGCAGACTGTTCTTCTTCATACATACTACACTGCTTACATCGGCAACAAAACAAACATGGGGCAGCAAGGATCAAGAATGGAGCAGCCACTAGCATAAGTAATCCAAAACCGGCAAATATTCCAACAACCTATACAAAATCAATATTGAAATTTTTATCAAAAAATAAATAAATAAAATAATAATAATAAACGATGATAATATATTTCACAATTTTAAATTTACCTGAGTTCTATGCCAAGCTACTGAAGCTCTGGAATGTCCTAATTTATTTTTACATGGTCCTTTATCATAATGTCTCAACAAAAAGTCATCCTAATGAATTAATTATTATTAAATTCCTCTTCCTAAAATAAATTTTGTTAATTAAGATGATAAATAACTTACATCCAAAGAAGCAAGACAGTACCAACAAAATACATGTTTACAATGCTTGCACATCATCTGGGCACACCCTTCATCTCTTTCAATAGGTATATGACATTTAGGACAGCGTTTAATGAAAGATTCATCATCATCGCTGGACATAAAACTGAAAATAAAACTGCATAAATTAGTATAATGTGAATGTACTGATTACATAAATTAGTATCATTAAAAGTAATAAAATGAATCAAGAAGAAAAGAAAGAAGATTCAAAAACACCAAAAGTATTTTTACTTCATTATACTTCATTACTGAAAAAGCAGTGATGTCATATGCAGAAGAGACTTCTCCTGCATATGACATCACTAATAAGCTAAAGTATTTAAATACTTATTAAAAGATCAATACTACTGATATTTTCTGAATTGATCCTAAGTTTACAATAATATATTAAATGCTGCTTGTACTATTGCATATGTGTATATGTATATGTATCTATTTACAAATAGGTTATATTCCTGAGGTTTTGTCTTAGGTCTAAAACTAACTTATAAAGTACAATTTTACACAGAATAACAATAACCACTTGCTGTTAGTGTCTAATCCTTCAGTGTGCTTAATATAATTATGTTCATTTACCTGCTTGCTACTGCATAGTATAGTATCAGGTTTTTCAAACTTGTAAAACTGTTTTATTCTGCCAAGTTTAGTTTTCATGGTAATAGACAACATTTCTTGCATTTATCTCTATTGCTAGACTTATTATTAAATTTTGGATGCATTTTTGAAGTACTAATCTTAAAAGTTTATAAAAATTGCAAACAATAGTGAAAAATATCATTACTCCAATGTTACTGACTTTGACACCAACAAATCANAATACAAATAAAAAATTATACTTCAGAAGTTAATTTAGTATCAAAAACGTAAAATATTTGAGTAGCCCAAGATATAGCCAAAGATTGCAGCACCACAGCACTGGCGAAAATTTAAATTTGCTGACTGGAATTCTTTCGGATGATTGACATTTCGGATGACTGACTTTCAGATAATCGATGCTCTACTGTACTTCACAAAATAGGCTAAAGCACATTATGGTATCCAAATGGTAGCAAGAAGCCATTGAAAAGTCAGGTAACTTTTTAAAAGTAATGAAAGATAGCATTGAAAGTATTGAAGTTTTTGTAATTGTGAGAATCCGAACTTTAACAAAAATTAACCGTTGATGATGCCATACTTGCTCAACAATTGTTGTCCTCAGCTACCTGAGAAAATCTCCACTTACACTTTCCTGACGACAGAAGTGACATATTCC